TATGACCAATCCGAGTTTCCCCCAAACCCCAGAACGTACCCGGCAATCACCCGGGAACTCTGACTGAAACACCGCCACTGCCAAGAGACCCCTGGGCTTAGTTCCCCCGTGGGCAAGGCCTCCTCCCTCTGCTGGGGTCTGCAAGTGCCGGGGCCCCACCCAATGCCCGCACCCGGCTGCCCTGCCGCCCCTGCTGGCAGTTGGCACCTGCCGGGGAACCAGAAACACATTTTCATGTATTTAAGCAAACCTGTCGCGGCCAAACAACGAATCAGGTCCCACACACCAAAGCCGAGCAGAACCGGCTGTGGTTTCTCACTTCCCTCGTCACTCCTCCCCTCCCGCCAGGGCTGGAGCACCCGTGTGGCCGCAGCTGCCCCAGCCAGGCCGCAGTCCAGCAGCCGAGGGCCGGGGTGGGTGCTGACCCAGCGCTGCAGGCCACCCCACTCCTGGGAACTCCACAGGCAGAGGTGAGACAGGGGCCACGCTGTGCAGCCCTGCCTGTGCCCTCCCCCCGCCTCTTCCCTCCCTTGCCCCCCTCGGTCCTGCTTGGGCTGCTCCAGCCCCTCTGTTAGAGGACCCGGGGCCACAGGCCTGCAGGGCCCATGGCTCAGAAGGGGCAGGGCGCAGGATCCTGCCTGTCTCCGGTCCACCCATTGCCTGCCTCACCAGCTGTGGGGCTGGACGACACGTGTAGAAAGGTGCAAAAGGAAAATATATTTAAAACAGGGCTGGGGTTGCTAGGCATGGTGGCGCATGTCCGTCATCCCAGCTCTCAGGAGGCTGAGGCAGGAGGATCAAAGCAAGTTCAAGGCCAGCCTTGGCTACGTAGTGAGATCATGTCTCAAAAAAAACCCTCCAAAAATCAGGGTTGGGGAACAGAGAGGGAGCAGGGGAAGGCGGGGATGGGGAAGGCGGGGAGGTCTCTAGCACCAGAAAGAGGTGCCTCTGGGCCCTTTCTGGTCCTGACTGCACCGCCTCTGCCCTCCTCAGAGTGTCTGGACCCAAACCTGCTCCATCAGAGCAGGCAGCACCAAGGACCTGTCCCCACGGGCCCTGCCTGGGTGACAGCACAGCCTGGCCTTCTCTGTCTGCTCCCTGGCAGGCAGGAGCCTTCACTGGAGCACAAGGTGTCAGCTCAGGGAACTATTCCTGTCCTCCTGGGCCTTGCCTCAGGCGTTTCAGGAGGGTGGCTGTGGGGAAGAACTGCAGTGGCAAAGCTTCCAGAGCTGGGGCGGGAGGTGGGGCGTGGGGACATCTGGGCTTAGAGAACTGGTACCCCTAGCTCTCACGAATTGAGCACTGGGGTCCCGGTGCTTCCCTCACAAAAGTCCCCTGTGCATATATCTATCAACAGCCCTAATGAGAGGGAACTTGGTTCAGAGAGGTTAAGCCTCCCCCTGAAAGTCACACAGCATGGAATCCTGACCTCCATCTCTCCAGAGTCTCCTTAAATAAAAAGCCTAATGTTCACCCATTTCAACACGGAGAAATCAAGACACACAAGGCTGAATATGCAATAATACTCAGGCCTTCCACTAGAACAGACTCTACCCAAGCACTTGCAAGTTTTGACAGGTGCGTTTCCTCCCGGAAGGTGGGGAGGTGGGCAAGGCAGTCATAATCATCTCTCTCTTTACGGACGGGGAGACTGAGGCTGTCTTTGGACAGCCATTCCCTCGCTCCCAGGACCCTCAGTCCTGTTTCTTCTCTGCAGCCTGAACCTGTGAAGGTTCCCTGGGAAGCGCTGGCCTCCTGTGGACCCGAGTCCTCCGGATTTCTGGTTCACACTCCGATTCCAGCCCCACAGCCTGCGAGCGGGGTCTGGGAGTCTGCATTTGCACTCGGCTGGTCCTGGGGTCTGGGCGGGGTGTAGGATGCGGTCAGAGCCACCCTGCCCGGCCGGGCTTGCTCAGCACCTCCCTCCTGCTGCACCATCCCCAGGGTCTCCAGGGCTCAGGCTGTCCCCAGGGCACAGAGAAGGGGCTCCCCTGGCGCTCACAGGGGGAGGCCTCTCTCGGAGCCCTGTGGGCCACCCCGGCGTCCCCACTGCCTTCCTAGCCCAGAGGGGTCCAGGCAGCCGCCTTCGCCCTCTGCCTTTCCGGCCTCCTCCAGGGCTCTGCAGCTCCTGGCTGGCCTCTGGGCCAGGGCCTGGGAACAGGGGGCGGGGGGGCCCCTCTGTTCCCCCACAGTCCCCCCTGGAAATTTTGCCCTTGCTCAAGAATCCTCGGTTGAGAGCTTGTCCTATGAATTCTCCTTGTGCGTTGAGAGCCGATAGGTTTTTATTTATTCATTTATCTTGTCTTCCATCCCCCGCCCCTTCCTCACCGGCTGGAATTTACAATTCAGTTCTCAGGTGGCCTCGCTTTGCCAAAGGACAGGCGGCTGGGAGAGAAAGGTCTGCACCTGAAATCTTCTTCCCACCCTCGGACTTGTGCTCCGGTGGGCTGGATGCTGGGAAAGGCGGTCGCACACATGCCACAGGAGGGGTACAGGCGGCAGGGACCCTCTGGGCCACGGCAGGGGGCAGAGGGTGGTCTGGCCATCTCTACAGCGCCCCCTGCTGGCTGGTTAGCCACACGAGCTCTGGTTGGAGGAGTTTAAACTTCCTCTGCATCTGCCTGCTTGCCCAAACTTAGAAATTCAGGGGTGGCCTCCTCAAAGCTGGAGCAAGGCCAAAAACTCCAGGGGAAGGAAAAGCCCAGTACACACCGAGCAGTCGCAGTGATAAGCTGACAGCAGCCACCGCACACCGAGCACCCACTGTGTGCCGGACGGACCCAGCGCACGCACGGCGCGGCCGCCTCCTCCTGCCAGGCTGTGACCCTGCTGCGGCGCTGTCGCTGCTGAGAAAGGAAGAGACCGAGGCTTGGAGAGGGGCACGCGTGCGTCCCGGCTGGCCTCAGGCGCTCGAGTGACCTTGGCAGGGCTTAGGCAACTCCTTCTACTGCTAAAAAGGGATTAGAACGGGACTCCCCCCTGCCCGAAGTCCTAGAGATGATTAAATGGAGGAGCCACACTAAGTAGCAGCGTTCGGGTTCGAATCCAGCCCCCGAGCCAGCCTCCCTGCGCCCGTCCAGGCAGCACCCCGGTCCTCACTGTCCACAGACTTAGAATCAGAGGCGGGGCGATGGCAGCCCGTCATGAAATATTTACATCCATCAAACAGGTGACGCGAAGCCAAGACTCAGCCACGCGGGGTCTCGGCCGCTGGTCTCCCCTGCCCTCTTCCCCTGTCTCCCTTGAGACCGCAAGGGGTGGGGTGCAGTGGCTCAGCTCTGCGGGCTCCGTCTGAGGTGCAGAGGGGCAGCGGGCCAGGGCCTCGGGCACTTGGCAAGGCCTCGGCCAGGCCAGGGCCTCGGGCTGGCATCTGATGCCCCTCCCCGCCCCTCCAGCTCCGCGTGCAGGCTGGGCCTACCGATCACAGTGTAACTGCACCCCGCCCCCGCACACGAAGGCACTGATTAATATTTAAGAGAAAAAACACAGCTGAGACGACACAAGAAACACAGGTCGCCTCTCCCTGGAAAACTCAGACTCAGACCTGGGCTCCCCTCTGGCTGCACCCCACTGCCGGGGCCCAGCCCCTCCGCCTGCCGCGGAGCCAGGGTGGCCCTGCAGGGCACAGGGCACTGCTGCCCGCGGACTCTCCGCCCTGGCTCCCAGCCCTGCGCTGCCCCTTCCTCTCCCTGCCCCCCCTCCGCAGTTGGCCCTGGCCCAGCCTGTACCCACAGGGACAGCCTTGTCACCACGGACACGCCCAGGCGGGAACCTAACCTTCCCAGGCTGGCGGAAGGCACTCCAGGGGATGAGACAGCTTCAGAAGCCCAGGGTGGGGACACCAGGTTGCCCTGCTGTGACCCTGGAGCAGCAGCCAGCGGGGGGATGACGCCGAACCCTTGCTGTCTCTTCTCACAGCCGGGAACCTGGCCCGGCCCCCGGGCAGGGTCGGAGCTGCAGACCTCGGCGTAGTTTGAGGCCTTGGAAAGTGGTTTCGCTGCCTGACTTAGGGGCCAGAATCACAGCTTCACCACTGGGTATGTGACCTTGGCTGAAGGTCCCCACCCCTGCTGCCTCAGTTTCCCCCATGTGTATGACTGGAGTGGCAGCAGCTGCTAGATTCTACTGGGAGGCTTGGAGGATACACTACAGAAAGGGTAAACTGAGGCAGACCAGGGCACTTGCTCTGTGCCTCATCTTATTTTGAACACTTTTCATGGAACTCCAGAATCCTTATAACCACATATGTTATGTGCCCATTTCACAGGCAACAGAACAGACCCTGCCCCAACATGCCTACTTTTCTACACAGACATTGGTGGGGCTGAAGTCCTTCCCTGAGGACTGGGAAGTGATACAAGTCAAGCTCCGGGTGCCCAGGTTCCAGGGTCGCACATTAAATGACTTCTACTCTCATTACTGCTATTGCTAACGTCACATGAGTACTGGAGTACCCGTGGCTAAGTCCCCTCACTCTCTCACTAGGGACTTAAGTGACGATGCCTGAACATATGCCTTCCTCTAGCAGTGCTGTGACTTTGGTGGGGAAAGGGCACGGGGTGAACTGTCCACCCTGGCCTGACTGGGCCTTCCTGCCTGAGGAACCCCGTGGACGTGCCCCAGAGCTGAACCTTCTCTGCAGAGCCCGGCCTCACAGTACTGTCTGCGGGACTGCCCTGGGGGCTAGAAGGGTTCACCAAGGAAGGGGTCAACCGAGTCAGGCCAGAATGCAACATCAGTGCAAACAGTCTGTCCTCGATGGCCTGGATTGCTGGCTTCCCACAAGGGAGGCGGGGCTTGCCTGTGAGCACCATGCTCTTCTTGAGCGGAATCAGCCCCCACCCTGGAGAATGTCACATGACCCCAGAGGCCTCAGGTGGCTTTGCTTCTGCTCATTTTCAAGACGGACAATGCATGCACCTGATCCTCTCACCTACCCCGCAGGTCCTCCCAGCCCCTCTCCCCAGGGCCTGGCACTGGGGTCTGGGGGGGCGACTTACGTGGGAGCAGAATCTCTCTGGGGGGTCCCCACACGTGATGCCCTTGGGCTCCACCTTCACCTTGACATAGTCCTTCAGGCGCATCACCTTGGGCTGGCAGGCGTAGAACTCCCAAGTGGGGCCCTCATCCGTGGTCACCCAGGATTTGCAGATGTCGTAGTCCGAGGAGGCCAGCGTGAGGCAGTGCAGGAGGAGCGGCAGCAGGTGCAGCATGGCTGTGCAGGCCGCAGGGGCGCGGCCCAGAGATGCCCTGGGGAGGCAGCCGCGGGCTCAGGCAGGACTCTCGGCCTCAGCATGGAAAAGCCACATCTACCAGGCGGCAGTGGCCGGGACGTCCCAGAGGCTTGAGCACTGCAGGTTTGAGAACAGCGAGGAACTTGTTCTTTCCAGAAGGCCGCTGCGGAAAATTCAGAGCCAGCGTTTCTCAGACTGCTGATGGGCAGATCAAGAAGTTGCCCTGTAACTTTTCGTCCTCCTAACCTTGGTGCGAACACCTCCCCCGGAGGTGAATCTGATCAAATCAGGCAGACTCTCAAATTGTGACAGTGGGTGGAAATGGGATAAGGAGAAAATCCACAGGGATCCGGCGTGGGACTGGATCAGATTGCTTTTAATTTCTGTCCTTCCAATCAATCCAGGTCTTTAAAGGGCCCTTAACGTGTGATTCGCTCAACACAACCGTGCAACAGCCCTCCGGCCTGCATGGTAAAGATAAAACAAAATCAGGAGGTGTGCGTGTTAGCTGGAAACCTGCTCCCTCTTTGAGACCGGACTTGGCATCTCGAACCAAAGAGATTTCTTTTCATATGGGCTGAAGGTGACAGCAACTGCACGACTAGGCTGCAAAATAAAAAGCTATGGAGGTGTTAACTGGGGAGGTGCTTCGGCGGGGACCGCCACTACGCACGGGCCAGCTGCCCTTGCCTGGTCAGTAACTTATTATGAAGTTTTTGCAACTTTAGCTTTCAGTCCATCCATGTACCTAGGAGTCTGGCTTGTCTTTCATTGGAGAGAGAGAGAGAGAGAGAAGAGAGAGAGAGAGAGAGAGAGAGAGAGAGAGAGAGAGAGAGAGAGAAAGAGAGAGAGAACAAACCCATTAGCAACAACACCTGCAACAAATTAAAAAGGGGGAGATTAGAGATATATAAGAACAAAGCTCTCTGGCAAAATGTGCAAAAAATGAGGCTGCATTAGCAAGGTCCCCTGAGAAGACTGGGTTGTTTTTATTAATATCAGAGCTGCACATTTATTTGGAGATTGGGCGCGTTATGAAAGAGGTGAGGCGCCGTCTCATCATTTATGGAGGTGTTCGTTCAGTCAAAGTGGCTCTGCTTGAGGGTCAGAGACGTAAAGCATCCCCAAGAGCCAAGATTTAATGGCTGCTTTCAAATACCATGCCCGACAAGTCAAAATGTCAAAGTTGTTAAAGGAGCCGGTGAAACCGTAACAATAGGTACAGAGAGGACCCCGTCCACGGGGTCACAGGGACAGGGTGTCCACATCTGGACCAAGAGCGGACAGACAGGTCAGCACAATCCGAAACGGTGAGTTTAATTTTTTAATGGGATAAGAAAGTAGGATATCGGAGACTTGCACAGAAATGAAAATGATCAAGGCCAAGATTTTACAATCATCTTTAGAGAGTAGGTTTATAAATGGATCACTATTGTGATGACTGATTGCTTTACTATTTGAAGCCTCAGGTAACTATGTAAAAGCCCAAACAGATATCACTAATCCGAGTGTTACACAGGGAAAACACGACTCCAATGACATGGTGTGTTCCCAAGCCCTTTCCACCTCCCCAGGAGAATTCGTGTTCTGCCAGCACGGGACCCCAGCCAAACACACCGGCCAACAGGGCAAAGGTTACTGCATGGCTTATACCAAGCGTCTCAGCCATTCATTATTCTGGTTATTGTGCCCAGGACTATTGCATTTAAATTCCCAAATCACTCAAATGTCAGCCCGACTCTCACCTGACAACCTTGGGAGCCATCGCATGCGGGAAGTCCCCGAGGAGTTAACTGTTTCTGTGAAAGCCCGCGAAGCCACCACCCAGACACAAACACGCTCCTGCCAGAAATGACATGACAAACTGGAGGGTGGGCGCTGCGGCCTGCGCGGGCAGCTGATCCTCTCAGCTCTGGGAGGAGCCCCCAGCCAGTGCCCCAGCTCCAGGCCCTCGGCGGGGCTCCTCCATCCCTCAGTGTCAGTGTCAAGGCGGCCCGTCCCTCTCTCTGGATGAAGGCTCCTAATGCAGACGAATGAGGGCCCGGAGCTGGACCACATTTTCCCATCTCACCCGGGCTGCATCAGGAGAAACCTGTTATAAAGTCGGCCCGGCCTTGAATGTACGCCTTGCTAGGAAACTCTCAGGAAAAAAAAAAAAACAAAAAAAAACGTGCCCGGCGTCTATTTTTACAACCCGAGAAGATGTAGTAAAAATAAAATAGCGTGGCCGGCAACGGCTTGGATGCTTCTCTCTACCCGAGTGAGCTCCGTGCTGCCCAGAAAGCAGCATGCCCCTAATTAATTCTTCCAGCAGCAGACTCCCGACTGTTCACAAACAGGTAGGGAGCTCCTCGTGCCTAGGGCGCAGGGCTTTGGGCTTGCAAGGAGGAGCCGGGCTGCAGGCGTCCCCTGCAGGACCAGCGGCTCGGCCGGGGCTGGGACTCGCTGGTGGTGGCAGCCGGGAGGCTGCGAGGCCCAGAGCCTGAAGCAGAGGCCCCACGCTGCAACTTGCAACTCTACTAATTGCTTTGCAGTTTTGTTGGCTTAAATGCCACCACACATTCCCAGGAAGGGGGGGGGCAGCAACAAAATCTGCCAGGGCGATGTGTTTACAATCATTCAATCAACTGGGCGTTGCTGGCATCGCAGGGGGAATTGTGAGCTCAGCACTCAGATATTACGGGGTTTTGCCAAAAAAGAAAAACAGGGGAGGGGCGGGGAGGCTCAAGAGCCCCCAGAATAACCAGGAGGGTAGCCAGGGAGAAGCCGGCAGGGAAATTTCAGAGTAAGAGGTTGTATCCTGGTGGATCGTTTTCTCCTTGGAAAATAAATCTTCACCTGATATTATTAAGAAACTGCAGTTCCCAGAAACAAATAGAATCAATGTGCTTTATTTTCTTTTAAGAGTCCTCAGGAACCGAGGGGGGGCTGATAGCCAGGGTATTAAAACCTGAAAATTAGATTTTATCAGGATTTCTGAACTCAGATTTCTCTGTCTTATTGAATTAGCGCCTCTGGGAGCTGGCTGGGCTTGCGATCTGGCTCCTCGTGGAGTAGCGGGCTGCGTCGTAGCCTCGTGGGAAACTTGTCCCCGCGGGCACCGGCTCCTGGGGGTTTTGGGGGTATGAGAACAATATCCCTGCAGGTCTCCTTTCTCTTCCCAGCCAGCCAGTGGAAGGTGTGGGATCTGCTTTGGGGGAGGGTGGGACGGGGACGAGGAGGAGCAGGGAAGCCCTGTCTGACCAGGGTCACCTTCCTTGCCGTCCGTCTCCCGCCCCGGCAGGGCCCTGTCGCTTCCTAGCGCTCCCCACCGCCTCAGTGAACACCGCCGTTCCCGCTTCCCCGCACCCTGCTCTGCAATCGCACTTTCTCTGGCTCGCAGCTCCTCGTGGCGCTCTCTGCAACCAAGGAGCCCCGGAAAGTTGGGCGCGCGGTGTGTGGGGGGAGCAGGAGCCCCGAGCGCCCAAGGGCTGGGGATGGCGTGTGGGTCCCCATGCACAGGCGGGGCGCCCAGACCACAAACGCCACGGGTCGGCAGAGTGTGTGCTTCAGCCGGCTGCAAGCCGTGTGCACTGCACACGGAGCCGGGCAAACCCGCCGCTGTCTTTGCCTTTCGAAGTTGCATGCGAACCACCCAAACAATTCAGAATCAAGCCTTTCACAAAGACCCGGCCAGCATCGAAGTGGCCCCCTCCTTCGGCACCGCCTCCCTTAATAAAAACACATCCAGCCGCAGGAAAGCGCCCAGGAGTGAGCTGCACCCTCTTTTCCGCGCGCTGCCGCCGCAACAACCCCCAGCCAAGACCCGCGACCCGCTCCAGGGCCGGCGCACCCGCCAGCCCCGAGGTCCAATTCCCGCCTTCCCCCTGCTCCGGCCTCCCGACTCGGAGTCCAACTCCACGCCGCGCTCGCTCGAGCTGGTGCCCGCTTGCTCCCCACCTCCACCTACCCAGCCCCTGCGAGGCACGGAGAGAAGTTTCCAGCTGGCCGAGAGTTGGGGCGCAACTGTGCGCTTGGCAGTTTGCAGAGCCACGAGGGCGCGGGGTGCGCGGCGATTACACCGGGGTCCGGAGCAGCGCTGGAGGAGGGCGACTTGCCCGTGCATGCTCCCAAACAAGCCTCCTCCCAGCAGCTACCCCCTGGAGAGCCACGCACGCAGGGAAAAGCCGGCCTGGGGTGGGGGTGGAGGCGGGGGGCAGACAGGAAAACCGGCGGCTCCTTTCCGATGCAGCTCCCAGCGCGCTCACGCCCCTCTCGGGCCACTCCAGCCCCCCGCTGTAGCAGCCGCTACCCAGTAACTTTTGCAGCCGAGCTCGAGCTGCACGGTGCTGGAGCCCCTCGGGGCCCGGAGAGCTGCGCGGTCACCCAGCCCCGAGCGATGCAAGCAGCCGCGGGGCTGCAGCCTTACCCGGCTCGGCGGCTCGGGGCGCAGACCGAGGCCGCCGCCGTCCTCGAGCGGCGCTGGGTGCGGCGAG